CCCGCGCCGGGGCCGGCAGCCTCGGCCGAGCCCAGCTGCTCGCGCATCTCCGCGAACAGGTTCTTGCGCTGGGATCGCGTGAACACCACCAGCAGGGCGCGTTCCTGGGGGGGCCTCACCCTCCGGCCGAAGCCCAGACTCCGCAGGTCGGGGGCCGGCGGCTGCGGGGGCTCGGGCGCCTCGTCCTCGGCGGCGCCCGGCTCGTGCCACGCGGCCCGCAGCTCCAAGCACAGCTGCTTCCAGGGCTGGTGGCGCAGGCCCTGCCACACGTCGAAGACTTCCCAGCCGACCCGGGGCGCCCCCTGCGGGTCCAGGGTCCGCGCGTCCAGCAGCAGCGGCGACAGGCAGGGGTACAGCTGCACGTGGAGCGGCCCGACCGGCTGCCCCCAGGGCGCTGCGGGCGCCTGGCGAAAGAGCCGCAGCTCCGCGCCCACCAGCTCTTCTTTGTCTGAGAGCGTGGACACATCAAACAAATACTTCTGTCTCCGGAGAGGAGTGTGCGAGAGATCGTCTGTGAGATAAAAAATAATTACAGTCAGTTTCACTTAAGGGGGAGATCAGCCCGGTGCTCTGCGGCCGGCCCCGGGAGGAAAGGGGCGGGTGTGGGGCAGGCGGCCCGGAGTCCAGCTGGGCCAGCCCCGGGCCTGACCACCCGGCTCCTCGCCCCACCCCTGCTAGGCGAGGGGAGGGGCCGCACCAGGGCAGGCCCCCTCCTTCTGTCAGCCCGGGACTCCCAGCGGGGAGGAGGTGGCAGCGGGAGGGAGGCGGAGGCCTCCCAGGTTTCCCCCCAGGAGTCTTCCTAACCACTAATGTGCCCTCTGTGGTCGCAAGCTGGACCGAGCCTCCCCCAGCCCTCCCCTCAGATGGCTCGTTCTCATCATTCACATCTCGTTCAAATGTCACCTCCTCCAAGAGCCCATCCGACCACCCCGATCTGAAGCAAACTCCCGGCTCACTATCACAGGACCCTGCTTTATTATCTTCCTGTCGTTTAGCATTATCTACAATGACCTCGGTTATATTTGTCTCCTTAGTGGTCTGTCTTTCACAGCAACACCCTTCCCCCTTCTAGCCCTTAGGAGCTAGAACCCTGTCCTGTTCATCTTGTTCTCCCCAGAGCCTTCAACCTTGAGGGGCACAGAATACAAACCAGTCGGTCAGTAAATGAGGGATGTTTAAGCCAGCCTGGCTGCCAGGTGTAATCATCTAGAGAACATAAACATTACCTGCACCAGGGTTTGCGCCAGCCCATTGAATGGATATTGGCAGACAGGGTCTGGATATTAAGATTTTTGTTGGGGTTTTTGTTATTGTTGTTGTTAATTTCTTTTTAAGCTCCGGAGATGATTTTAAGGTGCTGCCGAATTTCAGACCCCCTGGTCTGGAGGCAAGTTTGCTGATGCCTCTAAGCCCAACATGAAGCAGACAGATGGAGAGCTTTCTTTTAAAAATTCAGGAACTATTTAACAAGAAGTAAAAGAGCCGTGAGGCTTTCAGTGTCTACAGGAGGGGCTAATATCAAACAGATCAGACATCTAACCATTAGGAAGATCCTGCTGTCAATGAGAAGTAGATATATCTGGAAGGAGAAAACCTCAGTTAGAGATACTTATACACATATGACATTCTCCTCTCCTCCACCAACCGAATCTAAAATTTTCTTACTTTGCAACGAATCCTGAAGATAAAATTTTTTGGTTAAAGTAAGAAAAAGAAATTTGTGTTTGAGCAGAGGGGCTTGGGAAATCCAGGCTTTCCAAACCCAAGGTGAATTCTTTAGGACCAAGGCAAAACTGGACTTCTTTTCTGACACATTTATGCATGAAGCCAACCCCACTTTAGTGTGCAAGGCGGAAAGCTAACCAGATTTTCTTGGGCTGCTTCTCATAAAATATTTACAACCCAGCAAATACAAAAATCCCAAAAGCCCCAAGCTTTCCCCAGAAGCTAGTAAAGTTTGGGTCGATTTCAATAGTAAAAGTGTCACTGGGTCCCAAGTCCGACCCCTCACTGCCTGTCCAGATGTAGCCCCAGGGTGCTGGCTCTGGAGCCTCAGCCACACCCAGTCCCCACACTGGGCTGACCACCTCCTGGCTCCCTCACTTGAACACACATGTCCCAACCTGAGACGGAGCTGTGGGAAGGGTTAGAGAGGTGAAAAGGGAAAAGCTGCTGGAGGCAGTTGATTTATGGAAGCCAAGACCTTCAAACCGACCTGGGTCACATTAAAATCAGTGGTAATTCAGCACACTTTCTTCTCTTCCTTTAAAGAAACCTGGGTCTGACAAAGCTCAGCCACCACCCAGATCTCTGAACCTATTTGCCTTAGGCTTCACTTTCCTGCTTCTCACATTTCTTTCTCCCCCAAACTAAAGAAGTGATGAACGTGACAAACCTAGGGCATTTGCTGCACCAGCTAAATGCTCTGAGGGCTGATGTATTTTCCATCTTTAGCCACAAAGGTAGATGGTTCTGTAAGGCAGGTACTCCTACTGATCCCATTTTACAGATGGGAAAACAAAGACTTGGGGAAAGTAAATGAATTGACAGCTACTAAGCAATGAGGTTGAGATCCAAACTTAAGCCCACTTAAATCCAGGGGGTACAGGACTCCACTGTAGTCCTGGGACTGGAGCATAAAAAAGACCAGGAGTAGCAGGGGTAGAGAGAGGGAGATTTAGTCCAAACTGTGTGCGCAATACTTGCTAGGAATAAACCCTGGGCTCTCTGGAGAAATCATTTCCATCTCTGCTTACTTAACTCTTGACATAGTTTGTCACTGGCTGGGGAACAGTAGGCAGGTGTAAAGCAAAATGATGTATTCGTGTCTCATACAGAATGGTGAGATCAGCCTGCTCTTGTTTTCATTCAAGGGTGAGCTAATACATGGCTTGTCTGCACAGCTGAGTCACCTTTCTCTAGTTCTCAAAACTGAGAAAAGCATCGGTAGTAAGAGGGCACAGCTGACTCTTCAGCCTTGGGATTTCTGGTGATCTTTCTAGAGAAAGAGTGCAAAATGGTTTCAGCTTGTCTCCTGCTCTCTTCTCTTCCAGTATAAGCTCCAACCCACAGACCGAGAGCCTCACCTGCAAGCATGTGGACATTCAGAGGTAACCCACAGTCCAGGCTAGCAGGCCTACAGGAATGCACATCAGGAGGAAAAAACCAAAGAAGAAGTTGCCTGGGCTCTGTAAGCAAATGTGGGGCTCTTTGGGCAAACTCCATCTGAATGTAGGGGAACTACTTAGAGCAAGGCATTTTCTTGAACCTCCTGTTGAGGTGTTAGTGGTACTAGAGTCTGGGTCTAGTACTGTGGCTGAAAGAGTAAAACAATGTGAAGGTGACTGTGGAGGGCAGGAAGGGCCTGGGAGCAACACTGACTTTGTTCTGCTTTCCTGTACCCTGTGCTATAGAGGGTCCTGCTTTGTCTCACCAGTAATGGGGTACCACACTAGAATAGTTGTTCTCGAAGCTACTAAGCCTACAGTAGACCCAAAATCTGTATCAGCAGCTAAGGAACTAGTTAGAAATGGATCCCAAGGGTGGTGTGTGTGGGGGGGGAGGCTCATCTTTTGCATTTCTGGAAAGTTCCCAAAGAGTATTAATTCTGGCAGTTGTAAATCCCAAAGTAAGTTATGCTAATCTAGATGTGGAGGGGTATGTCACCCAGCTCTTGAGTGTCCTCACCCTATGGGGAGGGCCCCATTGCTGGTGAGACAAAGCAGGACCCTCTACAGCACAGGGGTGTAGGAAAGCAGCTAAGGCAGCTCTCACCAGAACAAAGTCAGTATTGCCCCCACTGCGACCCCCACTTTGCTTTACTCTTTCAGCCACAGTACTAGACCCAGTCTCTAGAGCCACTAACACATAAACAGAGGGTTCAAGAACATGTCTTGCTCTAAGTAGCTCTCCTGCAGTCCAATTCCCCACCTCTCTGGACTTGCTTTCGAACTTTGCACCTCAGAAATAGCCCAGAGGAGACATCCAACCTAGGGGTGCCCACAATTCCACCCACTGTCATGGCAAGGCCCGGCCCTGCTGCCATGGACTCGGGTGGGTTCAAAGCCCTTCACCTTCCCTTCCAAACATTTCCTTTACCCAAGTGAGGACTGGAGGCATCCAAGGAGCCCTCTCTTCCCTGAACTGGGCAAGAAACATGTACTTTTCATTTCAAAATCAATTTGTGGCTCTTTCTTATGTTTGTGGCCAAATCTAACATGTTAAGCCCTTCTATTGAAACTGATCAGTAATAAATCCTGGGAACTTTTTGTTTTGTTTTTAATTTGTAACCATCTGGATCTTTTACAGGTTGGTTCCAGTTAGCTCGGTGTTTGGTGAATATTAGACAAATAGACCTTTCAAGATGCCATTGCTGGATTTGTGCTTATCTGGTTTTCCCTGACATGTGAGTAGAGTGGGGGCAGGGAGGAGTAAACTATCTGCATATTTGAAGAAAGTTTTTCATAAGCAGGTCAGCCTGTTTTAGGTTAAGAGCAACTTGGTAAAAGGCTGAAGGCACCACAAACATGCACATCAGGTATGGAATTGATTTTTTTCAAATGAACAAGGAAATTAAACAAGGGAAGGAGAAAAAGAGTGCACAACCTCTAAGATAGGTACTATCACCTATGCTGATGAGGAAACTGGCCCAGAAAGGTAAAATCATCTGTGTTTTCTCATGGTACGTGGTTGAGGAGGCTAGAGAAACAAAGCCCAGAGCAGAAAGGATGGTCCCCACCACCGACCAACCAACACCCAGTAACTTCAGCCTCAAGAGGGTGGTGGAAAAGAGGAACACTCAGCTTCTGCTGGAAGAGGCTCCCTTAGGTCCCCCTGCACAGGGGTCCTTGTCATTCGGGTTGGGGTGAGAAGAGCCCAGATTTGCATCCCCCCCCCCAGAAGCACTGATCTATGTATGAAGCTGGAAGTCAGTCTTGGGGGTCCTCCTTGGGCTGTCACTTGCAGGCCTCAAAGGCACCCCTGCATCCCCAATTCTCAGCAGCAACTTTACTGTTTTCTCCAATAGCTGACTCTGGGCTTCTTCATGCTCCTCCTAAGCCCGTTGCACTCCTGCCCTCTAAATTTGCAGTGACCCTGGACTACTAGTGGCCAGACTTCCAGCCAACCCCATTCACCTCCTCCAGAGCACACCCCCATGCTTCCAGCTGTGTCTATCCCCCAAGGTCCAGACCCTGAGACTAATGATGGCCTAGAATGCAGAGAGAACAACTAACTTCCCCATTCCCACCCTCTAGGTGAGGATGGAGTGGGGCAAGATAATTACCCTTTGGCACAGGAAATGCTACCTCTTTCCAGGGGCCCTACCCCCCTTGTTTTTTTGTTTGTTTGTTTGTTTGTTTGTTTGTTTGTTTTTTTGAGCCCATAGCAGTATGGGAGGCTTACAGGGCTCCATCTTTGTTCCAGGTATGCTCAGCCTCACCTACTTGTTTGAGATCAGTCCTACTGTGGTACTCTGTATAGAAAAAGAAATTGAGGTGCTATGAGGTGTTC